ATAAATATATATATATATATATATATATTTTTCTTTTTAAAACTATTAAATGAAAACTGAACATATGTTACCCGTAGCAGAAAAGTGAGTTTGGAGTCCCTGTAGCAAATGTGTCTTTGTTTTCCATTACCCACATCGACAAGTGCTGTGATCACTTGACCTAGGCAGCTTAATGACCGGTTTATGTTACCTGCCTCCTAAAACAAACAGTGAAAGTTAGAAGACAACTGTCCAAATTAGAACAAGGTGGTTTTTTTGTTTTGTTTTTTTTAAAAAAAATCTAACTGAGGAGAAAGAGAAAGTAGCCACAGATACATAGCACGAACCTTTAACCTGACTCCTTCAGTATGTGTATCTTTTTGTCTCTCAGAGCCTGCCAAATCCACCAAGTTCAACTGGGAGGATCGGATGTTAACAACCTCACTGTTCTTCTCCATTGATTCTACAGTGATAGTGAAGACTGCGTGCGATCTTGAGGATTCTCTATTCATTGAGGTAGATGCTACACGGCGATTTCTCCAGCCCATAGTTAACACCTTAGCAGCAGGAAGAGATATCAAATAGCACCATTCTAGCATATTTCAGAGTGATCCCAACAGTCCGATACAATGGATGAGACAGAACAAACATTTCATTATGAGACTCTTCAATAAACTATTACACCGCCGAATTTTTGTATCAGACTATCTTAATATAAACATTTAATAGTTAGAAATCCTAAAGAAAAAAAAATCACAATTACTCAAACATTAACTTTGTTTTAGAAATAATTGCATATTCACTTTCCTTTACTTTTGTCAACCCAACTTCATGTTTTATAATTTTAGTTTAAAAATTAGAACTGCTACATTTTGACTACCAACTCATTGATGTGTCTTCCCAAGTATCTCTTTGCTTTATAAGCATGCCCTTTTGCTTTCCAAAGTTCTATTTCCCTTTATGTATTTATACAAATATATTAACACAGTACAGGTTGGAACCTTCAGAACCTAACCCATACCAAATGAGGTAATTTGCTGGATCAGTGGAGGTCCCCTGTCACTGGCCTCCCAGGACACTACCCCTTCCCTCCAGCTCGCTATACTCCGGCCACTTGGCTGGCTTACTGGCCTCTGGGCTCCAGCCCTGCTGCTATAGGACTTGTGCTCTGGCCATCTGGCTGGGACTTGCCAGCTGTTGGTGGCCCCACTGGGGTTCCCCGGTCCCACTGCTCCCTGGCCTTGCTGGGGTTCCCCAGGGACAGAACTCACTGGTCCCAGTGATCGAGTTCTCCACCATTAGACCCCAGACTGGCTCGCACTCTGGTCCAGCAACATCCGTGGTCCAGGATGATCACAAATGTTGTTGGACCAGCGAGTCCCGGATTTAGGAAGTTCAACCTCTACAAGTACAAAGTTTTAAAACCGCAGTCAAGGCATGTGCTTCTCATCATTACAAGAGTAAGGCTTACTCAGCATCTGGATGTACAGTGAGGGAATCTGGAACAAAAATGTAGTAGGACAAAAGCACCTGCTACTATAACTCGGATCCACTGCAAACATCAGCAGAAAACGAACATTGGTGCATTTTATACTCTACAAGCCTTACAACTTTCCTAATCTCTAACATTCACAGAGGTCTGATATGGAACATGCTTTGGAGAAAAGTTAGAATCAACAAAATAGTTCTCTGTTTACAGATGTTCTATTTCTACAAAAAATGTTTCAAAAGATTTTATTTTGGGCACTTTAATTTGTTAGAGCTAATTGTGCAATGCTGCTGATTGATCCTTACATTGCTGTAACAGCATGAAACATACTACCTGATATGCTTCAGCAGCGGATGTTAACACCTGCTCCATTGCACCAACAACAAAGACGCCCTTCTTGATATGCTCCCTGAGAAAGAGTCCAGCTGAAGCAGAATCCAGCAAGTCGAATATCTGTTCATTGTAGATTTCAATAAACGAGCACTTACAGAGAAAACTCTTACCAGTACCAGCCTGTAAAACAAAGAAACTTCCACTAGAAGTATAACTTTTATGAGAGCTGGTCTCTAACAGAGTATGGCAGTGGTTTGTTTCATTTCCTTCAGAAAGGTATAAAGTTATTACTGACGTATATTATACCTTAACACCACTTATGATGCCCAAAAGACTTTACCTAGTAAGACAGCTACTTTCAATGTAGAAATTATAATTTTTCTATTGGCATTTGTATCTATCAACACATAAAGGATACCAAAGTAAATGTAAACTAGCAAAGTAGGTGCAAGACAGACTAACATAGGAAACTTGAGCACTAATCAAAATGTAATTTATTCAGATACTTCATAAGCAAGACATTCCCGTGATCTCAGTAATATAAGTTTTACCTTTTCTTTTTCACGTTCGATTAGAAAAAAGAGATATTCAAAGCTCCGAGGAATAACTCCTCTCAGGTTATGAGTGAAATTATCAGAGTCAGATGGCCCTAAAGAGATTTAATTAAAAACAACATTTAGCTAGTTTAATTAAGAACAGCAGCAATTAGTTGGCACTCATATATACCATTATACTAAACTGAAACTATTCCTATAGCCAGTCACTGACAGCAAAACAAAGAAGGAAGAAAGTATTTCTCAATTGATTTTACTTTGTCAACTTACATCTAAATTAAAATAGTGCCTGTGAATGGCTGAGAGATTTATAGCTCTGCATACTAAAGTCTATTTATTCACAGAATAGGTGCACATACAGATCAAGAAGCAGCAGTGCAAACTTCCTACCAATGTTCTCTGCTTTAACTGTGATCTGAAGGGACCACTTCAAGGAGTGAGTGTAATTCAATTGCCTTGTTCATCAAATTCTTAGCAAGTCACTGAGCTATGCACTGCTTTCAATTTGGTGTTTCTCCCTCTTCAAAAATAAAAAGGGAGAATGAATAACTTGTATTTAAAATGACCAGTGCTATGAAAAGCATAAGAATAAAGGCAAACTCCTTTTATATTCCAAATTGGGAAGGCAGCCTTTTGAAAAAGTGAAGTACCTAGTAGGGACATTAAAAGCGGTTAATCAGTGTTCCCTCTAAGGTTTTTCATCCATGAGCAGAGTGAGTTTTGTCTTATTCGCCAAGTTCACATGTGCTTGTTCGGATGTGTGCCACTATGGTACGCACCAGTGGCGCTGCTCCCCAAGAGACTCTCCCAGGTTATGCCCCCCCCCTCACCTTCTGGGGAGATGACGACACCTGCCCCTCTCCCCCCTGTGTGCAGGGCAGGGACTGCCCTAGGCTGCTCTTCATGGGGCTGGCTGAGAGTCCCCACCTTGGGCAGAGGGAAGCTGCTGTCAGCACCCAGGGTTTGCAGGGACTGAGGTGGCGTGGGGTAGTGACATGTGGGGAGGGGGCAGCGGGCTCTGAGGGGGCAAAAGAGAGATGTAGGATGGGAAGAAGAGAGGTGCAGGGGGTCCCAAACCTAGGAGCTGCTGCACCACAGCTGGGCCCCCCCTCTGAGCAGCTGCCATGCAGCCAGCCCAAGGAGCAGTTGGGCAGCCACTTTGTGGCCCTGAACACAGCTCCAGCCCTGAGAAAGGGCTGGAGCTGGCCCTGGCCCTGGCCCCCCATCACACAGCCCCAGGTAGGCCCCTGACCAGCCCCGCCCCGCGCTGTTGGGAGTGGGCTCCGCCCCCCACCATGCTCAGTGCCCCTGGCTCAGAGCAGCTGCCTGCTTCATCACTCACCTTCCCACAGCAAGGTGAGTGCTGCTGCAAGGCTCTGTAGAAGTGGGCAGATGGAGAATTTTTTGTGCACGGCAGTATAGGCATGTACCTTAGCGGGAACTATAGTTACCATGTAACCATTAAAAAAACGTAGTGGTTACACACTGCAGGCTCTGAAGTATAAAGCTTATACTGCAGAGCCTAGAGCAGGGCTGGCAGCCATTGCACTGGGAGCTGGCTACAGAATTTAAGTATAAGCTTTATACTGCAGAGACTGCAGGGTGGGGCAGCATCTGGCTCCCTGGACTGGGGCAGGGAGCCAGCATGTAACTGTTACAATAACCAATAAGCTCTTGTTTATTGGTTAACTGTTTAAATGGTTACACCAGCAGTTCTCAAGCTATCTGGGCTCCAGAGCCCTTTACATGCGTAAAAATTTATGCGGCGCCCCAGCAGTCCACTGATTGTATGTGTTGTACCTATTGATGTTTCCAGTTTGTCAACCTCGCAGAGCCCCAGGGGCTCCACAGAGCACAGTTTGAGAAACACTGGTTACACTATTACATTGCTAGTGCCTACCAGAATATATTTCCAGAAATTGAGGAGCTGGGAACCAAAAAGAGGAAACTAAAAAGATGTGTTTAGAACTTTATAATACCACTTGACTACAAATATTTTCTCCTTAGAGGGCAAAACCTATCCCCATGCTTTAGCATTGCTGTGAGAAAGACCAAAATCTGCATTAATTGTATAATGTAATCCCAAAAGCAAAAAAGATTAAAAAATTACCTGCAGTTGACTGTAAAACTAGATCACATTTACAGAGTATATCATCTCTCAAAACTAGTATTCAGAAAAAGTCTGACAAATATAAACAAGTCTTTTATATACTTACCCATCATAGTAAAAGTTTTCCCTGAGCCAGTTTGGCCACTAAAGAAAAAAAACCAAAATAAGGAAAGTTTATTTTAGCTGTGACATCCATAATTTCCTTGCACCTATCATTCTAACTGGCATTCTGACATGGATAAATCAGCTGAAGATGTAAAAGCACACTTTCAACTTGAAATCTACCGTTGTTGTAAGTAGTGCTGAAGCCCTGTTGTGTAAGCTTAAAGGCTTGTTTATGTCACCAATAGAAGTTGTCTCAGTAAAAGATATTATCTTGAGACCAACACAGCCACAACCACACTGTATATAGATAGGTAGCCTCAAATATGCTAAGTTTGTAATTAAGTACTCTTCAACAAGTAAACTGCAAAAAGTTTCACAATGTCACTCTTTGGAATGTTGTGTCAAGTGAAAAAGCAGCCTCTTTCTTTTTTTTAAATCAATAAACCTTTGAGCATGAAGTGATACCCCTTAAGTCACCTGGAACTCATGAATACAAGTAATTTTTTACAACTCTCATGTTTAATATGAAGTAAACATAAATGGCTTACTATGCAAAGATGGTTCCATTGTAACCATTCATACAAGATTCAACAATGTTTTTGGCTACACTTGAAAACACTGACTCCTGAGGAGAAAAAGGACAAGGAAGCTAGATTAAGATTTCATAAAAAGAAAAGCTGCAAGGTTTTCTTCCATGATATTTTCCACTTTGTAAGTAAATCTATTATAACGTTACATACACAACTGTGTGTGTGTGTATAATTATTTTTACACACACACACACAAAAATAGAGGCATTGCCAGGCTAGATGCATCAAATGACCACTTGGCTTTTTTCACAACAAAACAAATGCACCCTTTACTAATTCTGACTGCAAAACAGTTAAGTTAGTGTTATTACGATCCTGAATCAATTGCTCTGTTATGGAATTGTATAAACTGCCTAACTACTATTACCACCATCTATTGCAGTGGTGGGCACCCTGTGAATCAGCTGTTCACCACTGTTCAAGCTCTGGGAGACAGAGAGAGGAGCAGGGACAAACACAAATCAGCAGATTCATGGTTCTCACAAAGTGCTAGGACAGTGGTCTCCAACCTTTTTACACCCAAGATCACTTTTTAAATCTCAGAACAGGCGAAGACCTACCGCCCCGCCCCTTCCTTGAAGCCCCGCCCTCTCTATTCTCCTCCTGTCCATTACTTGCTATCCCCAGTCCTTACTTACACATTCTGATAAAGTTTATTTTTAAATTATGCGATACATACAATTAAAATCAGGTGTTTTTTATTCATGCTATTTAAATCTAAAATGAAGCATTTATAATTATACATTTTGTGGGGACAGAGTTCTGCAGCTAAGGACAGGGGAGAGGGAACAGGGTGCTGGGAGGGCAGAGAACAGGGTTCTACAGCAGGGGACAGAGTGCCAGTGGGGACAGAGTTCGGGGAGTGGGGATGGGAATAGGGACAGAGTTCTGTAGCTGGGGACAGGAGAGTAGGGACAGAGTTCGGGGAGTGGGGACAGGAATGGGGACAGAGTTCTGTGGCTGGGGCCAGGGGAGTGGGGACTGCATTCTGTGGCTGGGGAGTGGGGTGCCAGTGGAGGCGGAGAGTCCCCTGCATCTCCTCCCAGGGAAACCAGCCCATGCCTGCCCCGGGGCCGACCCCACGCGGCGCAGGGAAGCCCCGCGCGTGCGACTGCCCAGGGGGCCGACCCCCCCACCCGCGCAGAGAAAACCTCGTACGTGCGCGCCTGCCCCGGAACCAACCAGTGCAGGGAAGCCCCGCACCGGGGCCAAGCCCCTCCCCCCACGCCAGGAAACCCCCTGCGTGCCTCCCGCGGGGCTGACTCACTCTTCAAGGTAAATAGTGGGGCTTCTCGGGGGTGAGTGGGAAATGGGGGCAGGGCAGACAGGACGCTTCGCGAGCGACTTAAACCTCGTACGTGCGCGCCTGCCCCGGAACCAACCAGTGCAGGGAAGCCCCGCACCGGGGCCAAGCCCCTCCCCCCACGCCAGGAAACCCCCTGCGTGCCTCCCGCGGGGCTGACTCACTCTTCAAGGTAAATAGTGGGGCTTCTCGGGGGTGAGTGGGAAATGGGGGCAGGGCAGACAGGACGCTTCGCGAGCGACTTGTCGAGGCCTCGCAATCGACCAGTAGCTCGCGATCGACCTGTTGGTGACCACGGTGCTAGGAGGAGGCAGGGAGAGAAGAAAGTGAAGGGCTCTAGTGCCCCACCGCATAAGAGGCATGGGGGCAAGGGCCAGACACGGGATGCACGGCCCACTCACTAATCTTGGGTCGCCCATCGCTGACCTATTATGTGTTATTGTCTTAGGCCTTACAAAAGGTGGCCTTCAGCGATTGTTTATGCAGAATGTTTCTCTAGGAGCTTCACATATTATAGGATCACAATGTCCCATCCATCATTAAGCACAACCTCATCAATGTAACTGTATAAATGCAAAGAGCAAGTCTTATGATAACTCTGAAGAGAGAAATTCTTAAAGCAGTGAGAAAAATTAGAAAATTAATTTGCCAAGATAGTGTAAACTCTGTATTAGCAGTCTTATTACTATAAAACTTAGGGAAATTGAAAAAGATATGGTTGCAATAAACTAGACAATTTTTTCATATTTTAGTGAGTTTATCAACTATTTGTAAAGCTATTACCTGGGTTGTGTCCATATTTGCAACATGATCAAAAGTGAAGATCTTGGGTTCAGGCTTTGAATGAAGACGCAGAGTGTTTGATGAAAGAACTGATAAGCACAAGCCTTGATCTCCATCAGCTAATGCAGCTCCCTCTGAAGGGGGGCGTACTCTCACATAGACCTTGATGGCATCACCTTCAGTACTAGTGAAGGAAAATTTTATATACGTAAGGTAGTCTGAAAATAGGTCAGTCAGTTATTTGAGAAAATACATGAAATTAGAGAAGACTGAGTGAGCAAACTCATGCAGAGGTTTACCCTGAAGTTGTACTAAATCTAGATAATCTTAGATTAGAAAGAGACCTATTGCAGGAGACATTATCTCATGCCTATTTAATGAAAGGTTTCCTGCACCTTCCTTTGATGCATTTGGCAGTGGCCACTGTAGGAAACAGGATACTTGGCTATATGGGTCACGAGTCTGATTCAGTCAGGCAATTTCTATGCTTCTAAACTGGTACGTCCTTCAGGGTACATAAGAAATGAGTCCAAATACAGTTTTGAATATGACCATTTCATAAATTAAAAAGGATCCCCTGAAAGCTTTTTTGTACTATAAAATAAAAATATATATTAGGGTGTTAGATTTCTGTTCTTGGGTCAGAAGAGATGACCGCCTCAAACTTGGAAATGAAATTGCTTCACTTCTGAATGCTTTTCTAGAAACTTATTATAAGCTAGCATTGCAGTGTTCGTACTGAACTTGCTTAAAAAAATAAAATGTGGTTTAAGTAACTGAATTTAGAATTAGGAGGGATAATTTCAGTATCAAATGGTTGGATGAATGGAAACAAACATGTCATATACATGTTAGCCTTTCCTCACCCAGCCCTTTAATGTTAGTACATGAGAAATTAATACAAGAATTAACAAATAGTTTCTTACCTAGATGTATTTGACAGAGGCAGCGTAGCATCACGTGAATTTCCTGTTTTTTAAAAAAAGGAAAAACAAAAACTGTCAAGGAAAACAATTATGGCTATTTATAAAACAATTTATGGCTAAAAATGCCAGTGGTATCAAGGGTGTTAAAATTTGAAAGATAAAATAAGTGTTCAGATGACTTTGAGCACATGCAAAATAGAATTATGCAGAAGATATTAAGCTAACATTTTCCTCTGATGGATATTTGCTTTATTGTTTCTTGCACAGATAATGTAGGCCCTAATGCTGCGGTGCAAACACCTGTGTTTATCTTTATGAATGCAAATAAACCTATTGAGTTCAGAGGGATAGCTCAAATGCATAAAATTAAGCAGATGCATGCTTGCAGGTCTGGACCATAGATTTTAGCTGGAATTACAAGATTTTAAATATGTGGAATTTTAAATCTCTCTTTATATATTAAAAAGCTTTTCCTGATGCATGACCAGGGCTCGACCAATTATGGAAAACCCTACTCGCCAGACAAAAAAGGGACTCGCCCCCCTCCCCCACCCCCAAAAAGTGATTTTTTTAATGGCATAAATTCCTAATAAGAATAAGAACAGTAATTACTAATACGTTCTTAATAAATATCACCTAAGTTATTAATAAATATCTTATAAACTTCTACCTTTTCCCTCTGCTGCCATGTCTCCTTGCCTTGCTCCATCAGCTCCCCTGGTGCCTGCTGCCCCCCAAGCCCTCACCCTCTTCTGCTGTCCTGACTCCTGCCCTTCTCCCTACCCTCCCTCAGCCTTCCTGAGACCTGCCCCCCTCCGCCCACTCCGATCAAGTGAGCTACCCCTCCTCATCTCCTCTTCTAACACCTCCCTCTACACACCTGCCCTGCCTCTCTTCTCTGGTGCTGGTCCCTCCCCTGCAGGTGTCCGCCCTTCTGCTTTACCCCCAGAAGCTCCTGGCACCCGCACTCTCCTGGTTCCTCCCCCTTCCCTCACTACCCATGCCCCCTTTGCCCTTTTTCCCTGATACCCACCCCCTCAGCACCCTCTGCCCCCATTCTCATGCCCCTGTGCCCTCACACATGCCTTGCTCCATCTCCACCTTCCTCATGCCCACCCCTTCTTTCAAGCCTTCTCCCAGCACCTCCCCCTCCTCCCTCTAGCTCCCAGTGCCCTTACCCTCTCCTCTCCCAGCATCACCCTGTTCCCCCCTCCCACTGACACCTCCCCTCCTGCCCTTCTCTTCATTGTCTGCACTTGGCCCCCTGGGATTTGTCTCTCCTGCACCCTTGTCCCTTGGTGCCTTCCCCTTTCTTCTTCTTCTCCTGACCTCCTCCCCTTCCCTCCCCTCAGCACAAGCCCCTTCCTCATATTTTCCCCTCCTCTCCCGATGGCCCTGGGGGAGGGGAAGTGGCAGGGCTGGGCTAAGCAAAACATCCCCCCCCTTTTTTGCTGTCTTTTACACGTTTGCATTTTGCAATGGGTTTTTTTTGTTTGTTTTCATTTTTGTCCCAGAATTTTAGCCTTATAAATAGCAAATAGCATTTTCATTCATTTTTTTCCATAAAGGCAAAGGCACTTTAAGTGAACTCCCCCTTTCAGTTGCTGCTGGGTCACAGCAGCCTTTTCCCCACCCTGTCCAGCCCCTCCCTATGGATAAGCACCCCTCACTCCCAACCCACAGGGGAAACAGGGTGCAGGGACAGCACAGAGCCAGAGGGGCGCAGGGAACAATTGGGGGGGACAGGACAAGGGTGGCGGGGGGCACAGGAGGCACAGGGACGCAGGGATCGGGAGGAGCAGTGTGCGGGGGAGGCACTGGAATGGGACACGGGGAATGGGAGGGGCAGAGGGATCGGGGTCTAGGGGCAGTGCAGGGAACTGGCAGCAGAGCTGGGGGGGAGCAGGGATCGGGGGGAGCAGAGTGTGGGGTGCAAGGGTGGCATAGAGCCAGAGGGAGAGCAGGGGAACTGGGGTGCAGGGGCAGCGTGGTGAATGGATAGCGGGAGCCAGAGGGGAAGCGGGGTGGGTGCAACGAGCCAG